GGAGTTTCCTCACTTGTTATACACGAAAATTCCAGTAAAATCTATGAGAAATTTCCTCAAAATTTCAATGTTGTCACTAACACGTGTATTTGAACATGTGCATATTTTCACAGTCTCTATGGCGATTGGTTGGATGTGTTGTGGTCAGGTGTGGGTAATTGGCCTCAGAATTCTGGAGTGTATGAATCGTTGTTGTTGAACGATTATGATAACTTAAGTGAGTCTGAGGAGATACTTCTGTTGAGTGTCGTGATGTATATGATCGTAATCTGCTTGGAAAAATACACAATACAAGCAGTTTTCATGTATGTTTCTGTATTTTCCTTTTTTGTATTTTTTTTGTATTTTTTGCATTTTTTTGCATTTTTTCGTATTTTTTGTTATTTTTTGTATTTTTACTTTATATGGTTGATTGCAGTTTCATTCGTTTTACGTCAAATGGCGTAGTACTCTATGAAAAAAGGCGATATTTGCGCTATGCAGTAGTCGTGAAATATAATTTTTGCTAGTGTTTTCCATATCACTAGGGTGAAACCCCACTGTATTCGGTATAATATTTTAGTATTGGCATCGTATTTTTGTATTTACTTTACATCATATTTTTCAGTGCAGAAGTTCAGCTTCATATTTGTGGTAGAAATTCATTCGTGTAGTGGCTGTATTCGGCCAGTATGAAAAATATGCGCGTGGTCAACTACATGTGATGGCGGCAATATGAAAAAAATTCTGAGGAAATTCTCACTGGTGTCTATACACTTTTACGCAGATTTGTATATAGACTCGTATGACTAGTGAGGAAACGAACATATATTCTTCCAACACTAGGGTTTCACCCAAGTGATATAAAAAACACACTAGTGAAAAACATATTTCACGACTAGTGCATATCACCGCGAATATCGCGTTTTTCACCGAGTTTTACCACGCCACTTCGCGTAAAACGAGTTCTGAAACTGCACTGTATTCGATTCAGATCACGACGTCGTATCGGGCGCACATGCTGGTCAGGAAAAAGCGATGGAACTCAACTTGGAGACGGCTCTCGCTGATGGCCCTGGTGTAAGTAGGAAATCTTGCTATCTTGCATTTCCTCAACGCAGATGCGCTCTGGAGGATGTCAGTCGTCATACAATAGCAGTTATTCGAGTGGCTCGTTGTGGCAGAGTACAACGCCTTTGGAGAGAGGTTGGTGGACAGACGGATTTTGGCTATGTGTCGTTTCGCGCCGTAGTGAAATAACATTTTCGTCTACTTTAGTATTGAAGACGTGTTGTTTGAATTTTAAATTAATTTGATTTTTTGAAACTTTTTGTATATTTTCGAAGTACCTATTGTGTGGTATATTAATCTACTTAGATGTCTACTGCGGTGCTGTTGGAGTGAGTCCGTTGCGTCCTGAGGAGGCAGGGGACAGATATTGGGTGAGAGCAGCGATAGGGCTCGTCTGGTTCTAGTGTTGGAAAGAAAGTTGGTTTTCCTCAGCTGAGCTCAGCGGGAGTTTCCTCATCATCAATGAGCCAATGGTCGTAGATTAACTCGTTGATTATTGCTGCCTCGACGAGGCAGCGCCTTTAATGAGTCGTTAATTATAGTAGTTCGTATATGAATTGAGGTAGAAATATACGGGAAGTAATAAGAATTTGTGAAAATTTCCTTCCAGAAGTTTCATATTGTCACCAACACGTGTAGTTGGCTATGTGCATATTTTCCCCCTTCTAATTTTTGTTCAGCGGAGTTGTTATTATTCAGATTTTTTCGTCGTTAAGCGTTAGTGCTCCCGTGAAAATTTCCTCCCAGAAGTTTCATATTGTCACCAACACGTGTAGTTGGCTATGTGCATATTTTTCCCCTCCTAATTTTTGTTCAGCGGAGTTGTTATTATTCAGATTTCTTCGTCGTTGAGCGTTAGTGTTCCCAAATCTTCGTTTTTTCACGATTTGAATAATCGTTTGGTTCAGGGTAGCCCCGGATGGAAGCCCAATGGTCTTTATTCTCAAGTTCCGGACACGCCCTTGTCGTCGAGTGGAGGGCTACATAATAGCAGAAAATTTCCGGCTGCGGTGACGCTCTCTCCGGAGGCGGCTAGGGTGTGGACTCCCAGTACAGTTGATAGTACGTATCTATCACCTCAAAGTAAGTCGTGGTTCGAGCGAGTGTTGATAATGATGGGAATGTGTTGGTGACGGTATGAAAATTCTGGAGAAAATTTGAGAAAAAATCTTGATTGTTTTCATGCACTTCTACCTGTATTCGTATATGAACTCTCATAATCAGTAAGGAAATTTCTGAGGTCAGCTTAGGAAAGCAGAGGTATATTCCTCCAACACTGGGCAGCGAAATCTTGTTCTGATTGCTAGTATATTGGATCCTTTGCTGTGCGGGAGTGCTTGATGGGGAGAAGTGTTTTCAAGTCCCTTGGGGAAATACGATCAAATTGTAGTAGAGGTGTAGTAGGCGTCGATGCTGGAGTGTGTCAATTTGAGGTGGTCGGCCTCAGCAGCCATGGTATTAGGGTTTGGTTGGTGTCGTGATTCTAATCGGTATTAGTTGCTAATGAAGTTAATAAGACTTTTGTTTTCATTGTTGGTAGGGCCATACGATGCTAATAGGATGAGCTCGGCCTCGGCGGGGACGGCGGCTCCGTTGGTGTCGTCTTCGGAGTCCCTCCTTCCCGGCTCACCACCGGGTTGGACGGTACCGGACTTCATGAGGGAGGACCACGTTGAGGGTAGCGCTAGTAGGATGGAGATGATGGTAAGTTGGAGGGTAGATGTGTATCGAATTTGGATGTGCGTTGAGGGTAGGTGAGGAGCTCGGGAGAGGGCGAGGTCGGCTGGGAGGGGCCTTCGAGGTCGGGGATGAACGTAATTGGGTGGTCGGGCAATCGTGTATTCGATAGACGATGTGGCTGTGGTGTGGTATGACAAAATTATTGATTATTTTTAGTCGGCTGTGGAAGCTCTGATGCAGCAGGCGGCCCTGTCACTGGCAACCACTGGGGGGAATGCTGTCACCGCTGCTACTGCTGCTATGCCTGGTGGAGGCCCTTCCCATCAGCAGACCATGTTGGCTCTACTACTCAGGTGAGGAGAGGAGGAGGGTAGGACTTTGGGTGTATGTTGTGGTGGTGCTCAGTTCGACGGCTATGCGGTTGGTGGCGAACGCATCGATCAATTCGTCGGGTGCTGCCCATCAGGTTCTGTCCGGTCCTTCCCCACCGCCGCCGCCGCCGCCCCCGTGAGTGGATGGGGTCATTTCATCGATTGGAATATGCTCGGGTGGGGGCCGCTTTAGGTTGTATCCGCCACCTGGACTGGCGGCTTCCACGGCTGTTCAAGGTGGCAAGATTGGTGATGATGTGATGAGGGAAAGGGCAGTGGAGGCGTGGAGGGAAGCATCGTCGAAGGAAGAGGAAGAAGAGGAGGCTAACATTTGGGGTGGGTCTGATCGTGAGGAAATGTCGATTACCTGGCAATGGAGTTGATGACGATGCAGCGCTCATTGGGACTGTTCTCGAAGTTGTATGGTTATAGTGTAGTGGTTAGCACTGTGGGCCTTGAATCATCGGGCTCGGGTTCGAATCTTGGTGGAACCTCTGCTGCGGCTATTAATTGTAAGCTAATGTGCAGCTTCGGACTGCTCTCGGGAACTTCTCTCTGGACTGTGGGAGAGTCCTGATGCTCTATTGTGATACATCTATCGGAAAATGCCTTTTATCTTCAAAATTGTAGCAGCGGCATTGTTGTGGAGCGAGTGGTATTGGAAGCGTATAGTAGTTGGTCGTAGGTCATCGGATGAGTATTACAGCGAAGGCCGGGAAAATACGTTACGTAGCAGCAGTAGTGTTGTTGTTATTATCATTGACAATAATAACAACAACAACGCTATGCTGCTAAGTTTGACAATAGTTTATTGTCAGGGTTGAGCAGCGACAGAGCATCAGAGGGGGGTGATGGGAGGGGTCAAATCCGAGTTGCCTCTGATCGCGACAATGCTGAAGCTTCGTCGATTATCAAGGAGTGTGGTAGAAGAGGAGATGTGAGGACCTGCTGGAAGGTAGTGCTGGTCTTGCTGCGTCACGCGCCACGATATTATGGCAGTTTGCAGGTGTGGAACTATCTGATATCGACCGGTCAGTGTTTGTCTAATTGGCGGAGTCGTAGTGGTGGGGAGGGAAGGAGGAAGGCCTCGATGGACGTAGGTCCCGGGTTCGAGTCCCAGCGAGGGTACCTTTTCCGAGTTAGGCGTCCTCACCGTTGTCATCAAAATCGTCATCGGCTATGCTCTCGGGCGCCATCTTCCGTCCCAATGAAATCACTCTGGGCTGTATGACTGACGCTTTGGTCAGCAACAGGTTGGTTGAGGAGGCAGAGCAGTTGGTCGGTGATTGGAAAGAACTGGTAAGAGATCCCTCGTGGGTTCGATTCCTGGTCAGGGACCAACTCAGCTTTGAGAAATAACGTCACACAGGGTTTGTTGACAATTGGTGAAGTGACTCATGTGATGACATTTAAATGGGAAACTAGCCTCGTGGAAATTTGAAAATGAATTCCCCCCGGAAATATTATATGTTCCTGGATGATTCTCACGTCCTCCTGGTAGAGGCATTTTGGTCAGTTCACCGATACTGTCATCTATAGTACGCTCAT